TTTAATAAATTTTATACTATATTCATATATTATTTTAATTTAGTGATAAACAATTATTAAAGAATCAGCTATTTTCGTTAAATTTAGCAACGAAATCTAGCATTGCATATAAATGGCCTGGATGGAAAGGGTTACTCATGTCGAGTTCATTGTCGAATTGCCCCTTTAACAGCCAAATGGTCCCTTACGGGGCGTGGGCCCCGCGTTGGCAAACACTGGTCTAGCATATCTTTCTAGAAATTCTTAATATTGTATACAATTCCTAATCAAAGGTGTTAGTTAACACAATTCGATATATTATATGGCCTGCAAATTGATGACAATTTACAGAATTGAGGCTGTATTTAAAGTGATAAGATAAATAAAATGTAACAAAAAATACAATGACTATTGTTTCCTGATGTGGATAAAAGAAGTCCTATATTTTAAGATTCTTGATTGGTTTTTTCTTTTATTATGAAGGTTTTACGCAAAACAAGTACTAAGTTCACAATGCATACTGTAATGCTCGCAATGCTACACATGTATATATCATTATGAATGTTGCGGTATAGTTCGGTAAACACCTGTAAGCTGTAAAGATCACTTGCGACCAAAAGTATTAGAATTGTTCGAAAAAAAAATAGAAAACTGTGTGCCTTTCCAAATTCAAAAAAAGAACTCTCACAGTTTCTTTTTTTGAATTTTGAATGGCAGACAGTTTTCTATTTTTTTAAGAAACAGTCTCACTGTTTCTTTTTTTGAATTTGGAATGGCAAACAGTTTACTATTTTCATTTCGAGTTCTATTTTTGAATAAAAATTCAATTTATAACAAAAACCCATTTGAATTTGGAAGTATCTGCACTTGATTTATATATTGAGAAATTCAACGTATTTCTTTTAATTCTAAACAAATCTTTCTCGTTGAATTATAAATTTCACTGAACATTGTTCGCGTTCGTTGTCGTACGACAGTCTATATTGAAATCTGGCTGATTATACAAAGGTCGTTATACCGCCTGTACTATTGTAGTCAGCGTATAAAAATGTTGGAGCGAGACTGAAGGCATGCGGGCGAACGTTTGCATGAGAACTAGGATCTTTGAGTTAATTCCATTTGTCATGCACACACAAGAAAGATCTTTGCTAGGAATGAGAGTACTTAGTAGTTTTTTAATGCTTGAATATGGAATGGTTCACGCGTCTGCTCTGATGGTATAAGCCGGACGTTGATAGAATGAGAACGATCTATTAAAAAAAGAGGTTGGTGTTGAAGTGATGATTGATGAAAATTTTGAGTATTTATACGTATAGACAAGCTGTACCCGCGACTTCATCCGCGTGGATTTTATTATATATTTCTAAAATAAAAGTAGCTTAAGTAACTTCTTATTACATCAGCTACCTGCCAATAAACGTCCCGTCAAAATCCGTCCAGCCATTTCAGAGATTAGCCGAAAAACAGACAGACAGACAGACAGACAGAAATTGTAAAAAAAAATATTTAGATTTAGATTTAGAAAAATAGACAAACATTGTAAAAAATGTTATTTTAGTATATGTACCACATTTATATTCATAAGCATGTAGTAAAAACGGTTATTTCAATATTACAAACAGACATTCCAATTTTATTTATATGTACAGATTTTCCCAGGTAAGATGCCTGTCCCCTTTGATTATCAATTTTGAATCTTAATATAAAGAAACAACGTGTACTTTAGAAAGAATAGATATTCCTCTAAAAGATGTTAGTAGTTATATCGGCTTGATATATAAAATAGCTTGAAATAATTTTTATAACTGTATTCGTGAAAAATGCTGCAGTTACCGTATATTATATACCGTTTTGTATATATAATATATATCGTTTTCATATACAGTTGTATTATCATAAAGGGCGCGCAGGGGTGAATATTGATGAAATAAGGGAGAAGTAACCCTTATTTTAAGAGCAAATACCAAATGCTATTTTACCAGAGATTCATGAGTTCCACACGTTTAATGTTTCATGTTTGCTTTGTAACGTGGCTAATTTTCACACGTCTTTGGAGTTCGATTCCTCGCACGATGCAAACATTTGTATTAATGGTATTTTTGATCTGGGAATTTTCATATTCATATTATTTTAATCACAATTGTAACAACGTCTTGGTACAGAATAGCATGTAATTGTAATTACAATTATATGTCGACAGATAATTATGACACAGTTATAATTTTTATTATTAAAAATAATAAATTTAATATATAAATGAAAAAAATCTATATTATGTATATATTTACAAAAAAAAACTAATATTTGTCTAGTACCCATAATACAAACTTCTAACTTGAGTGATAAGTCCTGAGTTATAACAAAAAATAAGTAAATATCTATACTAATGTAATGAAATAAGAGAATTTCTGCGCGTTACGAATTTAATTTTCAGATATTATATTACATTATGAAGATGTTTTTGTTTTTTGGGTAGAAAGGAACTAGTTATTCCACAATAATTAATAAAATATTATATTGAGTGGCCCATTTCGATGAAATCAATCCCATGTCGAGAAAGACAATGGCCCATATAACATCACGCTACAGGGGGAAAGTAGATCATTAGTAATGTGGATTAATAACCCCACTGCTAACAATGCACCATCTTAAGTTGACCACCACGTGGTTCTTCCTAGAAACCATCATGTTAAATTTCTGGTACATTTGCTACGGTGGGTTGACCTGACTTGATACTGAATCATCCTCCACTGGTGCCCCGCCAGCGAATACCGTTAGCGCATGTGAGTGCACCATTCCATTATCATCTGGTAAAAAAATTCACGCTACGATAAATAGGCATGGAACATAGAAGGAAAATGTTGATAAAAACAGTACATTATTTTTCTTTTTAAGAGCTTCCGGTACGTATGTGGTGCAGGAAGTTGTGCGGGTTAGTGATTTTATTAAGATAATATTTAAAATTCAATGGAAATTTTACATTTGTAGACCTATGCCTGAAAATAGGTAATGTTAATAACGTTAGTACGTTTGCTAATACAAACTATATATACATGTACTACTTACATATACTTATATATTACTACTTTTTAATCTAATAAATGTTTTTTTGTAATTGTTTTGCGTACGTATATGTGTGTCTACATATATATGTAATATGTATGTTAAATGTGTGTATGTATATTAATATCAATAAATATTTTTTCTTTGTTCTTTCTTGTTTAAAACATGAATATTATATCTATACCTATATACATTAAACTTATTAGAGCAACAGAGGATAAAACAGTAGTTTTAATATGTTTGTCTGTCACATATGTTTGTACACATACACAATTGAAACAAAACGTTTGGCTTGAGGTATTTAATTTTTTTGCACTAATGGAGGTAAAATAAAATAGAAATTGAAACACTGCAAGTAACTTATTAAAGTTATTTGTACATATGTATCTTCTTTGTAAAATAAATAGCCTAAATAATTAAAAATGCTATCTATCCAAGGTCACTTATCCACGCGGACGACGTCGCGGGCATAGCTAGTCTAATTTATTTATTCATAATTTAAGAGCTACGCTCTTGTCGGTGGAGCTCTTGCCACTCTTCGTGATCTTCCATCATGCTCTTTAATTCTTGATACGACACGACTCCCATTTGTTCCTCAATTTGTTTGATGTAGCTATACCGTGGTCTTCCCCTCCCCCTCTTTCCTTCTATTTTCCCCTCAATAATAATTTTAGCTAGTCTAATATAAAGCACAATTTTACTCAGAACAAGAGGGAGTCGCTCGTTTTAAAATAATCATAAAAAAGAGCTAGCTGTAGTTTTTTAACAGAATATAAATTATTAATGATCCGTGGTCCATTAATAATTTTAACTGTAAAGTTAATTAAGAGATTATCTTCTCTGAATTGCGAAGTCACATTACTCACACAAATCAATTTGGAGTATGCCAGGTGGTGCAAATTTCGCAATGAGCAAATTAGTTTCATAAAATTATTAATTGTTTTTAATAATTATTCACGATAATCATTAGGCGATGGAATGAAAGATGATCCTAATTATTTTTTTTATTACAAGTTTCGCTCTCGTCTTGTGTAGAGCGATAAGGTTGGACTTTATTAGGTGACGGTATACCGGCTTACGGTACGGACTAAAGATTTGTATTTATGAGCATTGTTTCTATCGGTCTGGGTGTTTTCGATGTGGTTTATGTATATATTTACAAATAACTCATATTTATAGCAGTTATCTATTACTCATGACACAAGGTCTACTTAGGTTGTCATATGCTTAACTAGACATATTTTAACATTTCAAGTTTATAAATGAGTTCTGACTTAGTGGTTTATACACCGGCTGAACCCCAACGACCGTGAATTCGACTCTGACCGACGCAAAAAAATATTTATGTTTTTAACTGAATGTCCGTAGATGTAAACATGCCAGAGAGCTAACCTACTAGTTACACATAATTTTCTTATTTGTATTATCATTACTGTCTAGTCAATGAGTAATATAAATTAACTCACAAAAAATATTACACAAATTAGGTTGCAACTCACGACCATTTGGATCCACAAGTCGGGTTATCTAACCGTGAAACCTTAACTAAGCTTAACTTGGGTCTAGATTGTCAAAAAAAAATAGAAAGAAAAGGGGATTTAGAATTTATAATGAAACCACAGGTCTCTTAAAGTAAAATATTCTAGTAATAATAATAATAATCTCAAGACAATTCACACAGCGCCATCTAGTCCCAAGTTAGCGTTAAAGTTAAGTTGTAGGGTACCATACAACTGATACAAATACATAGATTTTTTTTTATAAATACGTACATATTATACAAAGAAAACACCCAGACCGATACAAACAATCATACTCATGAATACAAATGTTTGTACCGTGCGAGGAATCGAACCCGCGACCATCCGTCGTAAAGCGGTGTGCTAGACCGCTATACCACCGAGGTCGTCAATAATCAAAAGACGAGTGAGCACTGAAATAAATTTATTATTATATCATTAATAGTCGACGATGCTAGAACAAGTTCCAGTGCAGATTTGTGCGGTGGCAAATCTGTTACTGTTGCCACCGCAGCCGCTGTATGAGAAACCTTTGCACGCTCTTACACTCAAATCGAAATACCACCTGCAAATTAATAAACAAATTCACTACACAAATTTTTTAGTATAGTTTTTATAGTACTACTGCCAATAATTTATCTTGTCGAGCCTGTGGTAGGCCATACCGCTCTCGTGTTGGTTTGTACAGCCACAGAAAGAGCTGTTCACGGACCAACACGCCACAAATCGTCTGTAATAGGCCATTATTTATATATATTGTAATGTTGAGTGCAATGGCTGGATCATCCGTCCTACTCGTGAATGGTTCTAGTTGTGGGCACTGGTCTGATCAGATTACGGCTCTGATGAAATTATTTCGTATTGTCAATAATGCAATAACATAAGTATGCTGGTGGACACTACATACTCCCCAATTGAATTTAAATTTGAATGTGTATTTTTGTAACTGTACAAGTTCATAAGAGTTAAGTTTCTAATTATCTTCTTAGTTCGAAAGCACTCCGGACTAACAGTAGATTTGACGTATCGTTAGAGTCAGCAATCAAGCATCCAAGAATATCCTTTAATTCTTGTCCCTCGTGGGTCAAATGAAATGAATCAAATTAAATTAAATGTATTTATTTGCATGAAACATGGTACAAATATTGAATGTCATGTAATATTATATTATCGATGGTATTAATAAATGTAAATCTGATAATAGCCCAAAACCTCCAATAAAAAATATAAAAAAGAGGCTTATATTAAAAAAATGTTTTGATTTTATTTTATCAGGAAAGTATTTATTTAATTGTTTAACTAATTTAAATAATATTTATTTAACTTAATTATTATATATCAAGCCAATTAAAGACAAAATTGTAGCCGAATCGTATAAACATTTAAAGAGCATGATGGAAGATTGTGGAAAGTGGCAAGAGCTCCACAGAGTAGAGCGTGGCCCTTAAATTACGAATCAATGAATGAGTATTACGAATGTCGTGATAATGTTCATAGTGCTGTTCATGTATACAGATAATAATTACCACTTACCATCTAATGGGCTGTCAGCTTATATACCATTACAATTACATAAAAAAAACGTAAAACGGCACTTGAAACAAATTCTATTTTCTACCTAAAACTGGTATATAGCATATATATACATCATAGTAACACAACAACTTCTTATCGTCTCAGAGCACGGCACGTATCTTTTCCCATAAGGGGAGGATTTAGCAGATTATTAGTCCCTCTGACCAGGCAGCTTGTAATAGGGTTTTATTACGAGTTCTTTCCCTTGCATTGATGTTTGACTTTCTTCCCTTAGTCGCATCTTACATCTTATGTAAAGAAATCATAAATTCTCACGAGATCTAAACTTATAGCAAATAAAGAAAATAAATCTTACATTGGGTAGTAGTCATTACATTTTCCAAAATCGGGTTGTAAGCGACAGCTTATTTTTTGAGACAAATTTCCCTTAATCGTATGAAATCCAGAATCTATTAAAATGTAAAAATGTCTAATATAAAAATGCTAGTAATAGTAACGAGGAAGTAACTAGGCATACAGGGGAATCGGTACAATGCCCGATTATTTTATAACAATATATATATTGATTACTTTTATAGAATTTGTATAAACAATGATTACTAGTGTCTTATTACAATTATCCTTTCATTATTATGTACTTTTAATAATTATTATATTTTTGTACGAAAATTGTTTCTACTTTTAATTGTTTGTATTTTGATACTTTAATAATAAATAATCTTTTTTTAAAATAAATAATCTCAGGACAATTCACACAGTGCCATCTAGACCCAAATTAAGCTATCTAAAGCTTGTGTTATGGGTACTAGACAACTGATACAAATACATAGATATGTTTTTTTTCGTAAATACATACATATTATACATAGAAAATACCCAGACCGATACAAACAATCATACTTATGAATACAAATGTTTGTGCCGTGCGAGGAATCGAACCCGCGACCATCGGAAGTAAGGCGGTGTGCTAAACCGCTAGACCACCGAAGCCGTCATAATGATCTGCTACATCCTTGGGGTTTTTAGTGAGTAACATTCTCACAGTAGCCGTCCGTTTTAGGACTCATCACTTACTTACGGTGTTACAACTAACTTCAGGAGTTACAACTCCTGAAACGAACGCGTCTCCATGATTTACCCCACGTAAAAAAAGTATTACTAAACTACTGGCCACGAGGCTATCTATTATATTATATTACTAGCTGTTCCCGCGACTTCGTCCGCGTGGAATTTATTTATATACTTTTTTATGTAAACTAACAAAAAATCTAAAATAAAAGTAAAGTAGCCTAAGTTACTCCTTATTATATCAGCTACCTGCCAAAAAAAGTCCCGTCAAAATCGGTCCAGCCATTTTAGAGATTAGCCGGAATAAACAGACCGACAGACAGACAGACAAAAATTATAAAAAATGTTATTTTGGTGTATGTACCGTATATATATTCATATGCGTGTATCAAAAAACGGTTATTTCAACATTACAAACAGACACTCCAATTTTATTTATATGTGTAGAATAGATGTATAGATAAACAAACATTTTAGAAAATTGTTATAACAATTATTATCTACTTTATTTTCTAACATACCTCGACATTGTTGCTGACACTCTTTCAGAGTGTTGAAATGATTTTTGTCACGCGGACACTGACCGAAGGTAAATGTTTTACAGTCCTCCATCTTCAAGTCATAATAAAATCTGAAGAACGAAATAAAATCTGAATAAAATTAATGACGAGATGTGTTGACATATATTGTGTCTTCAATCTATCTGCATAAAGTTTATAATGTACTATCACAGCTATGAGTTTAGTACTTTTTATTTCTTACCTGGAAGAAGTAAATCCTTTCCCATTACAATCGTATCCGTTAGGTTGTAATTTACACCATACGTCCCAACCATAGTCCCTCAGCACATCTGCGGAAAAATTACTTTTTGTTACATCTTTACATAGTATAAAATGAAGACGATACGGCTGTCTGTTCGCTTAAATTTTTTAATCTACATAACGGATTATATTGCAACTTTTAGCAATTGATAGAGTGAATCAAGAGTAAGGTTTATATGTATTATATACACCCGTACGTAGCCGGGGCGGATAGCTAGTATTTAATAAGTCTATGCGAATTGCTTTTATGCTTACTATACAGAATGTTATATCTATAAAAATACATTATTAAGCTATTACAAGATCTGTGTATACTTTTTACTATTTTTTAAATAAATTCATTATAAAATTAGGCTTTACATCCAATTCATAATGACGACCTTAGTGGTCTAGTGGGTTAGCACACCCCTTTACTTCCGACGATCGCGGGTTCGATTCCTCGCACGGTACAAACATTTGTATCCATGAGTACGATTGTTTGTTTAAGTCTGGGTGATTTATGTGTATATTATGGATATATTTACTAAAAAAAGTATCTTTGTATATATGTAAACTGTACTTACGATGCGCTGTGTGAATTGTCCAGAGATATTTAAAAAATACCAATAATTGTTAATCGTCGGTATATAAACGCTCTTTAAAACGTACCTTCTTTAGGAGTAGCAGTAACATTTGCATCTGTAGTCACATTTGTTTCAATCTGCTGCGTATTTGATTCCAAAAACAAGAGTAATATATAATATCCAACATATGTTTTGCACATATCCAATACAATTTACGATACAAAAACTTTATTCGATTTTGCAATGTTATAAAATGTTATTGGATTTCATATTTTAAAATAATACGTATAATTCAAAAGTGTTAACTTTATTGAATCGATAATTTATACTTACAAAAATTTATTTACTATATCATCAGATAAATTTCACGAGACTTCTGAATTGACAGTTCATAATGTAATGAATATAAATATCACTGAAGTATGCGTGAAAAAATACAAAGTTATTTTAATGTTTAATTAGCACGACTGGCTACAGCTGATAATTCTTGAATAGCACTCTGCAGCGCCTGCTGTTGCAGTTCTGGCGTGATAGATTTTTGGACATTCTCCAAAATCCAACCAACCATCCACTTCTGATGTATACGTGCTTCGGTTTGATACCTCTTTGCGTGATAATCCATTCGTCCTTTAACCATTTGATAAACATGCATTAGCCTCTCTCTGTAAACTGCTTCAAGTTGCATGTTTATGTTCTCTTTCTTCGCATCCATCAATAATTTCTGTCCTTCTGCCCTCCACTGAGCATCCTTGCTTGTTTTTATAACATCTTCATAAAATTCTATTTCATCTGTCCGCCCTTTCTCCCATTTTGCTATTTCAGCGTCAACTTGTTTATCCAAATTAGCTCCTATACCAGGCCCTAATTTAGTAGATATCAAATACAAGACTAAGGCAACGGATAATCCACTGTAGTACTCATGCTCCATGACGTAAATTTCTTTGCTAACTAAATAATTGGTAACAACAATACCAAAAATATAGGGTCCAGAGACACCTGTCCATGAATGGAAAAACAAAAACCATTCGTCAGGTATGAAACCCATTCTTACTTTACCAGAAAATAACTGTCGCTTTAATACAGGAACGTAATAATTAGGAGCAGTTTCTTTTCCACCAGACCCTGAGCATACGGGCCCCTTTTTTGTAGGACATGTCTTCGAGTGAGTAACTTGTATTGTTTTCGGGAAAAGCAGTCGCGTCTGACTTCCTAAACCTGATATTTGGCGAGTGAACATTTTATTTTTGACACTTGAAATTCAATATTTTATTCTATAGGCCAAATATTAGTAATAGTGACGTTAATGTACTTTTTTTAAACCTCGGAAAATAGGTTCACTTAATATCAAATGATACATAGTTTTGACCTAGTGTCATACTACATATAAGAAATAATCAGTTTATGGGTATACTTCACGACTATAATCCTAAATGGAGTAGTTAAAGAAAATATCAAATATCACCAAGGTGGTGAATACGGCAACATTTTGAAGATAAATATTTTAAATAACGCAAAGCTTTTAATGCAGTTTTAGTTCATCAATAGATAGTGATACAAGAGGAAGGTTTATATGTATAATACATCTGTGTTATAGTACAGAACAAGCCGAGTAAGTCAAAGATTTGTAATTGATACGTGCGTAGTCGGGAGTGGTCGCTAGTAATATTATAAATGTAAAAGTGTATATCTGTTACCTATTCACTACTAAGCAGCTGTATGGATTCCAATAAAGTTAAGATAAATTGTACAACAAGAAATAACATGCGCTTCCATCTCAAAAATCATACGTAATCATTTCTGAATTTAAGTGAAGAATATTATGTTTCTGCAGACAATTGAAGATAGGTTGGTAAACTAAATCAATAATAGAAATAAAATATGAATAACAAGCATACGCAATTCTTTATTCTATTCAATTATGACAAAAGGATAACACAATTACAATAAATAGAATATACGCATTAACATAGTGTCATATACCTTCTTAAATCTCAATAGTAAAATATCGGTAGTACTTATTCATTCATTCATTGTGTTTTTTTAGGAATGGCTGATGACAAACGGTACTGGTAAAACCACAGACGTCATAAAATGACGACTCTTGTAACATTCCTCAGGACTATATTATAAAGGTTAAAAGAAATGTAAGAAATATTTAGCGATGAAAACATTACATTATAATTATACACACACGACATTTATGAATATCTATCACATTTATAACTTTGTTTATATAAGATATAAGGTTGAGAATTTATTGTAGCCGGTATTTGGCGGCGCGGAGTATTGGGTATTTCTCGCCGTTGCAAAGACCACGGAAATCGTCCAGCGAAAGATCCACGATCGAGATGCCTCCGAGTCTCTTAGTTCTGTAAACAAATATTAAATAATTTATTAATTGGTTTCTAAATACATACAAATGAACATAAAAGGTACTTTCTTTAGTTATAATATTTTAATAATAATAAACTCTTTATTGTGCAACGAGAAGAAATTCAATAAGAAAAACTGTAAGTAGAAAGTTTACAACATAAGGCGGTTTTATCACTGTAAGCAATTACAGACAATCTGGAAGAGAGGACTAATGTAAACTATTAATAAATATATTAATAATGATAAATATATTAAAACTACTTTCTAACTCTGTATGAATCCAAATAATACTAGAATTATTTGGTTAAATAAAATTTGATCGAAATAAATTATTTCTACACACAACAGCTGATGATGTATAGACTGGTTGACAAATGTCCACGATACCTAAAACTACATCTCAGGACACTAAAAAACACAACGATGTATTATATATTAACAATAAGTAAATATTTACTATAGTTATTGCATGAATTCCCGTCTAAATTGTGTTCTTTTGCGTTTCAGGATATCCATGGTGTATTATTTTTGTTTTACATATTTCGTCACGGTCACCACTACATTGCAAATATAACTACAAATAATGTTTTAGATATTTATTACTTATAAAGAAAAATTGCAACTGAATATATAATATTTGACTTATCTGTTTTTCATGTTACTTAGCGACAATTCGAATTTAGAATAAGCATACGTCACAATAGTGTCCTAAATTATTAGAACAATTACAATGTGATGCAAATATATAAGTACTAGCTGTCCCGGCAACCGTTGTTTAACCTTAATTTAAAAAAAAATTTAGAGGTGGACTACCCCTAACATTTAGGGGGATGAAAAGTAGATGTTGGCCGATTCTCAGACCTACTCAATACGCTCATAAAATTTCATGACAATCGGTCAAGATGTTTCGGAGGAGTATGGGAACGAAAACTGTGACACGAGAATTTTATATATAAGATATTACCAAAGACGCATATAATTGAAGGAAAGTAATTAGGAAAGACATGCTTTTCAAAATATGGATCAACAAACACTCACTTCACATAGTTGGCCTTCTTTCCAGCTGTGTCAGGGTCTTCATATGAAACCCAGAGACCACCTTCACCACTGTCATCAGGAAGGCGGAAAGCGTATGTACCTATGGAAATAAAAATATTTTAAATATGGGATAAAACATTATTAAGTATACTATCAAGGTACAATAATACTAATGCATTGTATATCAGATTACATATAATATATATATATATATATATCTCTTATACACATTTGTATATTACAAAAATACATCAACAAAACATTGAGATAAATCTTCCTAGCGCTATAAGACTTTTCAAAGAAATAACGAAAAGGTTTGTCACAGAAGACCGAAGAGCTGGCAGCTACCTTGGACAAAGAATTAGTCTAGCTATTCAAAGATGGAACGCTGCCAGTATCTTCGGAACGTTGCCTAAAGGGACCCCTTTTAATAATATATTTTAGTCATCATATTATATTTTTTTAAGCTTTTTAATTTTAGGTTCATAGTTGTACATCTTCGATATATATAAATAAATAAATCATTTATAAATCGTTGAAAGCAGTTATTAAAAAAATGTTTTTCAGGTCATTAGAGATAATCGGCTATGCAATTATAGTAAATATTTATACTTACAAAATATATTAGATAAGGAACACGTAAATTGCCTAATTTACTTAACCTTATATACTACTTAGATTATTTTATAAAAAATACAACAATATAATCTAATTTCAGCTTATACAACAATGACGGAAACATTCACCTAAATTAAAATCAATAAGCGTGTTTGTTACAGCCCTGTTAATTAACACAAGCATTATAAGTAGGCACATATATACCAATATTATATACAGATATTATACACATATATGTGACAGTACTCATGAAATTTACACGAATATCAAATAGGTCACGTGATCGATCTGATAAAGATATGAACAGTACAGAATTTCGTTTCTTATATCCACTTTGTATGTTAAAGCGATTCAGTTTCTATCTGGCTTTCGTATATAATTCACTACGCTATATAATATTTATTCAATAGTTATATAACAGCATAAAAAATCCCCAATAACTCATGTAATAACCAGGATATTGTTAGATGCAACCACGGATTCAATTTACAAATTACCTTTTTTTTAAATTAAAAAAAAGAAATTAATATACCTATCAGTACTATAAAAATACTGTCAACAAAACCAACACCAAGCAACCTAACAGGATATGATAAGTATGACTTATTCTATCCTGTTAGGTCCAAATAGTTCCAAAAATACATAGGAACTCTTTGGAACTATTTAGGAATTTAACTAGACATAGATCTATAAGAATCACATATTCGGATTTTATATACATACTAGCTGTATTAACAACATTGTAACATTTAAAATAATCAATATAATATTTATTGTTAGTACATTTTAATAATCTTTGACCAATACGTTGTTTGATGAAAATGTTTAAATAAATTTCTTTATACATAACGTACATAGATAATACCCAAACCAATAAAGCACACTCATAAATACAGCCCTAATTGTGCTGGGATGCAACCCACTATCATGTGAAAGTAAGTTAAAATCACACTACCTTAATGTCATAGGTTCAATCTCCGATAAACATTATGACAGTCGCTTACATTTAATTTTAGAATATAAAAATTAATTAACATAAACTGTACTTTAGGATTACACGTGCAGATTTTTCAGAAAGCTGCGTGCCATATATATTACGTTTTTAAAGCCCAATAGAAATGGAAATACAAAATCTATTTCCATGTCTAAAAAGGCTTCGTTACACAATTACTACTCTTATAAGATCCAGTGAAAATTAAATGTTAATAGTATGAAACCTACTACTTGAAATGTACCAACCAAAAATATTAGACAAATCGGCATCCTTGGTTAAGAATCTCTCTGAAAAGTAAAGAAAGCCCACTAAATCTACCGTAGTTATTTACAAAACCACCAAAGCTTAAGACAAGATTCCTTATCTATATATTAATAGGTAAAGCCAAAACTCTATACCCGTTTTTATGTAAATATGTTCGAAACTGCGATATGTAACTGCATATCATAACACTTAGTTTACATATATAGAGGAGTGCAAAGTATAAAAGTATAAAAAAAACATTAACATACTACCATATATTTGACACACAAGCTCATATATATACTGTTTAGTTTGTTCTTAAAGTCTGTGGTCAAATTCAGAATAGAAATATTATAAAATTTGTCTATGGCCTTATTGAATGTCAAACATCCATGACAATATGACCTTAATAATTTTCAAATTTATAATTGAAATTGATTACGGTTGAATTTCGACCACTGTGCGACCATTTATTCATTTATGGAAGAAACAAAAACCTTCTATATATTTATTTTAACCATTAAATATTTGCTCCTATTCATTCAAATGAAGTGATTGGCTTAAAAAAGTAGGACCAAGTAGTTTATAACTTACACGGGTTTATGGACGTTTTTATAAATGGACGCGTTAATTATTATTGCTTAAATATTAGTAATTGTAATTTTAATATCTTACCAAATCTCTCGCTTGGGTCCGTAACCTTGCGTAAATGAGGACGCATGCCCTTCTGATGGTTGGGATTGATGAGTTTAGCACAAACTTCTGGGTAACTCAGCAGTCCTTCAGTCTTAGTGTAAGGTCCTGCAAATATGTCACTTTATATAGTATACAGTATAATGAGAACAAATATTCAAATAAACTTATACTAAACCACTATATCCGGAAAAAAATTAGCAGAATAGAATAGATAAGAAACTCCATTAATTTTCTTAATAAAAATTATATAATTTAAATACATTTTTTTATTAGAAGAGATACTACTTAACAGAGCAAATAATAGAACAAAATTTTATTCGTACAAACAACATTGAATACCAACGTTTTTAACATAATACTGGCAACATTTTTCTGTGAAATACGCCTTTATAAAACACTCTTTTATATAAATAAAGCCAAACGCAAATAAAATATCAATATACCAAAAGGATATTTTTATTCAAATTGTTTCAATGAAATTGAACCACGACTACTAACGGAAGAGAATTTTCCAGATCGAAATATATTTTATAAATTCAGAATGTTATGTTCTTTTGTGAATATATTCATGATATAGTTGAATGGAAAATACCAATATAAAAAATAATTATAGTCATGAATACAAATGTTTGTATCATGTGTGAATTGGAGTTTGTAGCATTCAGTTTTGCCAAGACATGTAGTAGTTTTTTTAGAGTCCAATACACTTATTTAATTTATAAAAATATGGTTTAAGTTTAAATTACTGCGTCCTATTTTTAAACTTAATTCCTTGCTTTTCCAACTTTAAATCCTGTTTGTGTTATAATTTTTAAGAGGGTTGCCAAAACCCTGTAAATAGTCAATAGCTATGCAAAAGAAGTTCAAAATACAGTGTCAGTAGTATAACAATAAGTAATTAATACAAAAGTTATTATCATACGGGTGTATGTAGTGGCTGTAGAGGTACTAACCAGCTTCTCCAGGTCCGTCAGCATGTAGAGGTGGAACTCCAGAAATTTCACTTTCAGAATCCAATTTCCATGTGCGACCGAATGTTGAAACACCCACAACTATCTTTCCACTTGGAGCGCTGTTCTGTAAACTGTTGTAGCAAAAATACTATATAGAGTATAATTATATTTAGTTGTAACATCATGAATACAAAAATGTGTGTCTGTTGTTGTCTGATAATCATAAAAAGATTAAACGCCGAACGAATTTTGATGATGTTTGAAAATTATATCATGATGATTTTTGTATTGTGCAGCAAGTGAGCATAAAATTCTCTATCCGTGAGGCAATATTTAAAAATTCAATAAGAAATATTTTTTTTAAAAGTTACATACATCAACTTTCATATACAAGCTTGTAGTTATAAATACATATTTTAGCGATATTGTTCCCTAAAAGGGTGAAATTCAGTTAGGGGTTCAAATTTTATATTGGTATTCTGACGTTATTGAAGTCGTTATTGAAGATGCATGAATTTATATTGATTTTCCATTATGAAATCATATAATTTATATTTAGATTACCTATATGTACATATAAATAGAAAATACAAGAAAATACTACTCCAAAAATTGAAATTTATATGAACCATTATCAAGAAGTCACCAAAGAAAATATCAAAGACTATACTGGAATTTCCTTTAAATAAATTTAAAACATCTATTAAATTATGTTTCTTGAGCAAAACCTATTTACCACAGCTATTACTATGATAAACGTGCATACTGAACTGGACGGTAGACAAAAAACTTGACGTTTATACGCGACTAAAATATCCTTCATGAATAAATGATTATAATCATTTATGCATTTCCTACCATCCAGTGCAGTATACAGATCCAATTGAGAAGAACTGACAAGAAATTCACCGAATTTCTCTTTTTTTTTTAAGTCAGCTTAAATACATTACGTACTTATATAGGTATGTCTTCTACAGCCTCGGTAGTCTAGTGGTTTAGCACATCACTTTACTATCCGATGGTCGTGGGTTCGATTCCTCACACGGTACAATCCATGTATTTAAATCAGTTGTTTAGTACCCATAACACAAGCTCTGCTTAGCTTGGGACTAGATGGCGCTATATATTATGTCTACGTCAAATGAAAATCCCGTACATGAACATCTATAATCAAATCAAAATAATCATTGATTTGATTTGATTAAATTACTTACAAGTAGGTAACTGCTGCGTCGAGGTTCAACAACGGATTGCGGTTCTGTGGTGTGTAAGTAGGTGATGCGTAGTCAGCTTCTTTGGGATTGCGAGAGGGCGTGTTATAGTCAAAAGCATCAATATTGATGAAATCGACCAAGTTGATTATAGAGGGAACGTCGATGTAAACTGAAAACACAATCATTCTATTAATAGTCTGCTCTGATAACTATGTCTTATTTATTTTGTTACTTAAGTAATTATTTATTTATATCAACTTTGCTACTCTGCAGTTTTATACTATATATATAAAATTTCCTAAAAATGTAATATTCAACAAGATTTCCTTAAAATAGCTAACTTTATTTGCTTCGCAAACTGCAAGTTTCTTGCTCAATTATCTTGTTATGAGTCTGCTTTACTAATGATACGAATCAAAGAATGTATCAATTCGAAAGTACTTATATTAAGTTTATTTGAATAAAGATTATTTCTATTTGTAATAAAGTACGCAAAATAAGTGAACAACATAAAAAAAGTGTTATATTTATAACCATAAACTTAAAATGTGTTTCATAGAACATAACATGGCAAAAATATATCATAAAATAACTTTTTAATATTTCGTATATAGATTTACAATAGAATCTCGCCTTTATGTTCTCGTGCATTAATGTTTTAGTTTGCTATTACAAACCTGTTTAAGCATCATTCAAAATACTTCAAATTGTTTGATAGTATTCGAAAATTTAGATGTAATGTAGAAGTTCGAAGACTTTAGATATTAAGGTATATTAGATAGATCTAATATCTTACTTGACGAGTTAACATTTGGTAATATTGTGACAGACAGTTGCAGGTTCGGTCTGACCGCATTCAGTGCTTGTTTCAGTTCACGGACGAGAGCCGTAAAGCCTTCACGATGTTCGGTTTCTTTGTCATCAACAGGGGTTGTGCCAAAGGCTTTCTTGAAGCTGTGCCAGACAGATCCTGGAACAAGGTGTTAATTAAATAAATTAATTTGGACAATTGGCTCGGACAATTCACACAGCGACATCTAGTTCCATGGTAAGCAGAACTTGTGTTATGGGTACTAGCAACTGATATACTTACTTAGATATTTTTTTTATAAATATAGAAAATAACCCAGACCGATGCCAAAAATCATACTCATGACTACAAATGTTTGCACCGTGCGAGGAATCGAACCCGCCACCATCGGAAGTAAAGCGGTGTACTAAACCGTTAGACCACCGAGGCCTACAAATAATCCACAGCTTGCACCACTCGAAATTACTTACATCAATTATAATAATATTGAATGACCTACCTAAAGTCGAACGTAATTTCTTAGGTTTGATCCTAGGGAACTGCCAGGCTAAGTCGATACCATCGAAACCATACTGTTGGACCAGTAGTACTCCGGAGTTCACAAATGTTGTACGAGCTTGAGCGGATTCCAACTGGAAATTATAATTCAAGACTATAGTTCTTATTGTTATTCTCTGTCACAATGTTTATTTGATATTAAAGTTCTGCACACAAAAAATATATATTAAATTCTTTAGAAAAATATAATATATCAACTATAAAAGTATGTGGCCAGTAAGTCAGCAATACTTATATCAGACTACATATGACACTTACATTCAAATAACGTTATATACAACTTTTAGCTCATATAGTAATAATAATAATAACTTTGAGATTCATCCACGCTTGGCTAAGGCCCGCGTGTTTGAACGTATTACAATGGAGTATTAAAACGGAGATATATAAAATAATAATAATAATAACCCTGGAAATATTACACAGTGCCATCTATAATATACATAGAAAATAGCCAGATCAATGCAAACAATCATACTCTTGAATAAAAAATATTTGTACTGTTCTAGTTGGATTCCTCAATCGGACCCTCGTCCACCGAAGTAAAGCATTGCTAAACTGCTAGATCAAGGTCGTCAAAAATGTTAGGCAAGTGGTTGAATAAAAAAAAATTTTAGTGGCGATACTATTTGGTGATAGCGGTAATGGCTTTATTAGAAATAGGTACAATAATGACTAAAATGCAAATTAAAATTAAAATGACGTGATACAAACGTAGCATTTTGCGGGTATATTCTGTGGTTAACCAAATAGGCAACAAACAATAGAAGACAATGTAATATAGATAGGTATGATAGAATTCAGTTGTAACATTTACATACAACAGTGACAAGGTAAAATTACGTAGGCTCTAAAAATAGATCAGTACATGCAAGTAAATGCGAATATAAGCATTCTTCCCTTGCATCAAGCATAAAAATGGTTTGACAGACGTTGAAATCTATTAACATGCAAGATTTGTCCACATGAGGTAGTTTGACCATTGGTATAATTTAAACATGATTACATTTTTACAACACAAAACTCCCAAATGAATTTTAAACCTTCGTCCCAACTAATAAAGTGGACATTTGTAATTGGTCATCGATAAAAGGGAATTGGACCGCAATGTTTAATGTATTATCATTAAGCTAGTCTGCTAATTAGGAATACTAATATAATTAGGTACTAATTAGTGTATGGTCATAAAGTCATGGACATAAATGAACATACAATGCATTCATAACAAACTCAGGGAGAGATTATCGACTGTGCAAATACGAATTCTCAAGTATTTTGGTCACATTAGCCGGAACGAACATTGCATGGAGCGGCCAATTATTCGGTTGAAGGCAGACGTTCTCAGGGTCGATCACCAACGAGATGGACTGACATTATAGGAACGGCTACACAGCAGTTCATTGTACAATATTTTCGTGCAGCCAAAAGGCATTCCAGGTGGAGGCAAATTGCAAGGAGCTGTCCACAGACCGAGACAGAGACAGGTCCAAAGACCACAACGATACCATACCACAAGATATACCATCATGATAGCCATGACCACTCTGCCAAGAGTGAATTACTAAAGAAGGTGAATGCATTCATATAAAATGCTTAATAATCAATGTATTAAACACAGCCTCTTTAATGTGGAGTGGATCACACAAAACACCACTTGCTTCTGTAACCTAAGTCTTTGTCTTATCCATTGTTTTACAAGTAGTTCTTAACATGATCTATTTCTTGTGACCTTGGCATACTACAGGTCAATTTATTAAAAACAATATTAGTTCATGTAACGTGGATATGAATGAAAACAAAATGTCAACCGCTGCGGATTTGTTTGTGGCTTTATGCTGAGCTGACACATAAAATCACCGCCATTTTTTAATCTGTACAATTATTTTTTCTGTATCTCATATATGCTGCGTTTGTAATTGTTGAATAAAGCATTTATCTATCTATTTATTGGCAATAGATATGATTAGGCGTCCTACTCTGATGACTTTGTATAAAATCGGTCAAATTTGAATTAACATAAGAAAACACTAGGATTTGGGTACTCACCAAAAGATTGTATTTGTTGCTATCATCACTATCAGCATCGCCTCCAACAGACAGAAGGGTCTTCAGGTTGGGGTACTTGTGTCCCAAGTTCGTGACAGTGCGATAGTTATCGTGGGATCGGTCGACGTCCAGATTTTCATTCAGAGGCACCAACTTGTATGTGTCAGGCTGGACTCCAGCGTAGCCGTACACGAGGTGGGAGCAGAAGGATAGTGCTGGGTCCAGATCATTCGGCAGCATCCGGGCTTGCGCTGGATAAATACATCCTTCAACTATATAATGACGAAGTAATTGTGCTCTTAAAATTAGAATTAATACTGATATGGAAATAATTGTTATCATCATACCAAATCAGCCAAGTATTTTCGATGTCTTGTTAATAGTCGTCAAGGCAATATATTGATGTTATATGTTGTATAAATGTTTTAAGTCAAGAAATGTATATTTGCCTTTCATCTTAGAAGTAGGAAAACATAAGAAAACGTGATATTTCTGTTGTGGTGAAGTATGTACCCGTTACGTGGGATTTTATGATATTAACATTAGTCCATACTAATAAATGAAATATATATTTTTTTACCCCTTCAAATAAAGTGATCTTCTGAAATTTTTCGTGAAGATACATTGTATCACAGGACATTTGTATTATTGTCAACTTTTGGGTATGTAATACAAATTAAACAATACATGTTGTATAATACTCTCAAAATGGTCGCGGGTTCGATTCCTCGCACGGCACAAACATTTGTATTCATGAGTATGATTGTTTGTATCGGTCTGGGTGTTTTCTATGTATAATATGTATGTATTTACGAAAAATAAATTATCTATGTACTTGTATCAATTGTCTAGTATACATAACACAAGCTTTAGCTGGCTTAACTTGGGTCTAGGTGGCGCAGTGTGAATTGTCCTGAGATTATTATTATTAAGATTGTTAAAAAATCACATAAAGATTAGCATTTATACAAAATTACGAATTAAATTAAATCGTACTAATAGTAATACTAATATAAACGCAAAAGTTTCTGAGTGTGTAATGGATGGACAGTTGGATGTATATTTGTTGATCTTCTATACAAAAATTATTGCGCCGATTTTACTGAAACTTTACACTAATATAGCCTATACATCAGAATAACAAATGGATTATAAATTTCAATCGGGTGAAATCGCACAGCTAGTAATATAATAAGGCAGATAAAACCGCGAGTTAACTACATTATTGTCTAAATTGTTGATTTGTCTATTTGTCAATATTAAATTAGAGCAGCAATACAAATATGATTACTAAGTTATAATCTATTTGGGTCATTATTGAACTAATATACAACAAATTCCTGTATAATTAGGGCATCGTTGAAATGAATCTGCATTGTGCATACCACATTATTTAATTTTGAGCGCATTCTATTTGCATTATTAACAGTCGCCATTTTGAATTTCGTTTAACATATCAATATGTAATTAATTGAACTAGTTTATGATATAATAGAATATATATTTTTGCAGATTATGAGACATCCCTACTACTAAACTATATCAATAAGTATATAGGTACATCTGTTGATTGATTTGGACAAGGCATATCATATTCTTATATTAATATGTAAAGCAAAAACTTTATAGCCCTTTATATGAAAAATATGCGATCGGAGGAGTATGAAGTTAGAACACTTAGTTATATTAAAGTAATAAAAAAAAAATTATACACTCTTTTGTTTATTGCCTATGCGACTGCCAGTGTCTGTGATTATAGAAGTATACCTACATACTTAGATATACTACATCTGTTAGAATTTTTTTTGTAAATACATACATAATATACACCGAAAGCAGTTAGACCGATACAAACAATCATACTCGTGAATACAAATGTATGTATCGTACGAGGAATCGAACCCGCGACCGTAAAGTTGAAAGTAAGGCTAGACCACTCAGGTTATCATAAATATTGCAAATAGCCATAAATTTTGCAATCAACCACTTTAGTAATAGAATCAATTCATAGTATTGGCCACAACATGTATATACTTTGTCAATTGCTCCTAACAAGTCCAAGAACAATAGCATTGTGGGTGTGCACGATTATCCAATTGTTTTTATTACAGACTCTTCATTTAGATTTTATAGTTGATACTATGAACAAATTGCCTAACAATATTACACATATTTAAAAGTAAAGAAATTGCCGAGCTAAAGAAGTCATAGATTTAGAGTAAGAAAAAAATTGTATGTACATGGAACAAAATTAAGTATGGTGAATAATAATGTCTTCCATATGGTGATACCAATTTATTCATAATATTAATACTAGATTTAAAGACAAACTTGCTGTCCCCAAGTATCGTTTAGAAAAAGTCAATAGGTCTTTTATGGGAATAGGTATAAAATTTTACAATAAGATACCAAAGGATATTTTGGAATTACCCTTAAATAAATTCAAAACATCTGTAAACTCATATTTACTGAGCAAGGCCTATTACTCACTAAACGATTACTTGAATGACGAGCGTGCATGGCAATAGTTTTCATGTTCGGGATTTTCATTTAATGTTAGACATAGACACCTATATAAATACCTATGCATTGTAAAAAACTGGATTTAAAAAAAAAAGTAATTCAATTGAGTTTCTTGCCAGTTCTTCTCAATAGGATCTATATACCGAACTGGACGGTAGGGAAAAAAAAATCTAATGTAAAAACTTGACGTTCATAAGCGGCTAAAATGTCCTACATGAATAAATGATTTTTGAATTTGAATTTGAATTTAATAAAACTAGATGTGCACGCGGTTTCACCTGCATAGAATTTATAGCCTACATGTTATTCTGATGTGATAGCTATGTTACGGTAAAGTTTCATTAAAATCCGTTCCGTAATTCTTGCGTGAGGCAGTAACAAACATACATCTGTATTACAATACTCTGAAACTTTCGCGTGTGTAATATTAGTAAGATACCAAACGATATAAAGGAACGTTCTCGAGGACAATTGATAAATATATTAAACATTTAGATACTCTATAAATGTTTCTAGTCCTTAAACGAAAGAAGAGCCTAATAATGTGACATTGATATGTATTTATTATTGGTCTGACGAAAAATGTTTTGGATAATGAACTAATCTTTAAATAATTTGGAATTTCCCATGCCTAATGAGGCACATCGTAATGGAACATTCTATTCGATAATCACAACTAATGTATACCTACGTTTATCACAAAATTCGATTTGATCTGAAATACTTTAATTAAATTCTAACTGAATTTTAACATAATTAGAACGTTCAAAATACCTTAAGTCCACAAATCCATACTTCATTTACTTTTATTTGAGATAATAAATGACCTATGACCATTCTCCTGATACTATGTAATGTCACGCCAAGTATTCGACGTGAAAATGTAACAAACAGATTAACAAAAAAACACTTTCATATTTAAAATATTAATATGTTCAGTAAACTTCAATGTACACAAATAAAATGTACATGGCGGACTTAATACCTTGTGCTGATAACCAGGCAATCATCAATCAATAAATTAATTCTATATTGATACTGTAGTACATCTACTTTACTAATTTTACTGCTGAATCTGCCTTACAACAAAAACACAGTCGACAAAGCAAGTTGCTTGGCGTCTGAAATAGGACAGTGAGACTGAGGTACCTATTTTTCCCATCCGATCGATCCCCCGTCCAATTCTAACAAGGATCGAAATTACGACGACCTGAGCCGAGGTTCGAACCCCTAGAGATGCCCTTAGACTAAAGTCGTATCCGTGAGGCAGGAGTTGACCTTCAGCCGCTCCATAAGTCCTTCCACAGGTTTGGAGTGCCATCTGCACTCGCACCCTATCGTCTGGTGAAAGTAAAGGCCAACTGCGGCCGACAACATTAGAGTACTTCGAAAAAAAAACGATTTTGTACAGTCTACATCTGATGTTATAAATCGTATAATGTAAGTTGTGGATGACCCCTAATATATTGTTGCATTTAACATGTACATTATAGTCGAAAACGGAAACAATATGTTCAATATTGTTTCCGTTGCATTAACCACTTCAACTGTAATAGTGGCTTTATAATTCAATATACCACCCACTGAATTATTAGATTCGAACAATTCGTTGATATTATAAACGTGACAGTGTGTCAGACTATCTGGTACTTTTAACGAGTAAACTATTCTTAAGCTTAATTTTTCGGTAACATATGTAGATTACCACTAAATATAATATATATTGTAGAGTATCTTTTTATATATAGTAATCAATACAAAAATCAAAATAATAAAACAAACGATGGTTCCCAATCTAGTAAATAGTACAGTAGAAATAAAATAGTACAGTTTATTCTGCTGGTAATTATTAAGAGTAATCTTGATACAAAGAGTAGTGATTCTAAATAACTATGTAATTATCCTAAAATTACGTAATTTTAATAATAATATAGCACAACAACTGAAGTGTAATTATTCTTCCACGATGGGCTTACTGGCTTAATTACATGCTCATCCTCTATTGATGGTCCGCTAGCGTATACCATCATCACAGGAGGGCACGAAATTCCATAATCATCTATTAACAGTTAATTTCTTAATAATTTTAATTTGCTAAAAGTCATGTTTACATTAATAACTCTTTCCGTTGACAACTTGTAAAAATGTTGAATATACTCTTAAACTACTAATAACCTAAATTCACATAATTCGATTGCGTCGTTGCCAAGGCTAACAGTCTGTGGTCTAATATATTTTTTTTATTTTCCGCCACAACAATAAATGGACCGTTTTTGTTCTCTTAAAAAAGTCGACAAGGAAAACGGACATGTTTGTAATTCGCTTTGTTTGAAGTGTACGTACCATATAACTTTCTGACGTTGTTCTCCCAACTTCGCAAAAGTACGAACATAATTAAGATAAATAACGAAAAAAATTCTCATGCTCACGGAAAAATGACTCCGTGTTCACGGAAATCTTATATGCCTTCATTTAACTTGCTAATTAATCTAAACAGATGGGTAATAAATGTTTGAACAAGTACTTCTCTTATATTCTTAACTAATGTTTTCTTTTCAAATCAAATCGAATATAGATTTGTTTTTACTTATAGGTTTCTAACAGACTTTATAAATCAAAAGAACTGTTAGATCGGAATGTGGTTTTAGTCAAGAAGAACTGAATAGAAACTGAGTTCTTACACTCTTGAAGAGTGTTATACGATAAATTCTTAAGGTATATATGTTTG